TATCATTTTCCATATCCCTAGATTGATAGGCTTATATTGTTGGCATGTTTTGGCCAACATTTATCTGCATTTCCCTGATGTATTGGTAATGTTGGACTTGGGCCATGTGGGTATCTAGAATGTTATGGGGAACTGACTGTTTTTATTTTGAAGCAACAGCTTTCATCAACACTGCACATATATAGTACTCCCTGCGTCCCAAAATATTAGATCATTTTTGACAGTGATATTGTCAAAAATGATCTTACATTTTGGGACGGAGGGAGTCCTTACACAGCAATCAGTACAAAACCTAGAAATTTATATATCATGTTTAGCCTATAATTTACTTGAAAATAAAATTCTAAATGTCAACATACTATTAAATTTTAAAGGGGATTGTGCATTTGATCCATGGAACTAAGTATCACATATAAGTTCACAATTGCACTGCAAAGGTTCAAATGGAATCAGTGCATTTTTTTTTCTGGTATAGTGTATTGTGAATGTTCAGGATAGTGTCCCAATACACATTCATGTATGCTTACCTATGCCTTAACGTGTCTTCATGGTGTTATGCTAACGATGTTAATAGCATTGCTGCACGTATTGTTATTTGTTAGTGATGTGATACCTTATTGTTGAAGAAGTAACCGATTTGGGAATATGATTGTTTTTAGAACATACGTTCTTCTTAAGCTCACTAGCATTTGACACCACTGGCTTGAACTAGCATATTCGATATGTAGACCTATAAGGAGTCACCCTGTTTCGCATTCTGAAGCTACTTAACGATATCTTCCTTCTATCTTTATAGACACGAAGGATTGGTGTGATCACTGGAAGCATTGTGTTTGGTTTACACAAGGAAGGGGTGCTCCTGTTATGAAAGATCAAACTCTTTCTCTAAGGGCTAGTCATAACCTCACTAGCATCTCTTATCAGCTGCTAAACCCCAACGATGAAGCATGCAATGGAAACTTGAAAGCTGATCATCTAACATTGCTGCCAGAAAGGATAGCACTTTATGGTGATATATATTGGAGATCAGCTTTGATAACAGCAATTAAAAATGCTGTAAGTACTCCAGTTCATTTGATTATATAATACTATGTTGTTGCATTGCACACTTGATTTCCACAAACTTCTGTTTTCCACTTAGAAATGGATCAGGATGTTAATTTAAGACTTCAATGTTCTAAAAGAATTCCACAGATCTGCTGATGCAAAAATATTCTAATGATCTGCCAACATTTGAAAATGAATTCAGGGTTTCAATAGTTTCTACTGTTTGACAGTTTGGCCATCTGAAAATAGAAGAAAAAACTGTGCTTGCATAATCATATTCAAATTCTCAATTCATAATATGAGCTGGTCCCTCCGTGCATGGACTGAAGGGATTCCTTTCGACAATCTGGAAGCTATATTGTTTCCTTGTTAGTTTCATGGAATCTAGTATCTTTCAGTTGGAGCACATGATCAGTTCCATGGTTTATGCTACCTACATTCTCTTTTTGATACAGATTACCTACATTATTCTAACATCGTCTATTCATATTCAATGTGTTTTCTGCCCAGCTGAGTGACAGATCTCCGCAAACCTGTATCGTGGCTGATGACAGTATATTCTTAGCTCTCTTAGTTTCTTCTCTCTCACCATCTTCAAAAGTCATTGCCATGTTTCCTGGTCTACGGGACAAGGGTGCAACATATCTCCAGGCTGTTGCAAAGGCAAACAATTTCTCCATGGATCAAATTCAAGTGATTGGTAAAAGAGCGGCATCTCTTTCAACGGATGACTTGGAACATAAAAAGGTTTGCTGCTAGTCTAAAGTCTGGCTTCAAAAGTAGTTCAAGGATTCGTACTGTTTTTTTTAATGAATTTCTCATGATCTTCTATCATTTTATCTCCACAGATTAACTTATTAGTGGGTGAACCATTTTATTGTGGCAGTGAAGGGATGCTTCCATGGCAAAACCTGCGTTTCTGGTTTGTTACTTCAAAATTCTAGTACTCATTATCTAACAAATTAAGCTTCACACCATTACTAACAAATCAGTCAGTTGGTGTTGCACATTCAAGTTCAAACACCGCTCCATGTTGTGCTCCTTGTTGTATTTCTGTTAGTATATTTTCTTTTGATTCTTTGTCTCCATGTTCCTCATCGTTTCTTGGCCTGGCAGAAATTGATGTAGTTTTGATTGATAGTTAAAATTCACTTTTATACTATAATTTCGTTATTCTCAAGCCCATATTTTAATGAAAATATGGCACCCTATTAAATGTTTCCTTTTATCTAGTACTTTTATTTTGAAAGTTCCTTCTAGTACTAGTATAGTGCAATTGTGGCAACATAGTATTGTAAAAGAAAATAATGCACCCTCAGTTTGAACATAGAAGCAAATGTTTGCTCGTAGACCTTCATTCATCTGTTCACATATTCCTTAACTAACAAACGAAGAAACAAACTTCTATATCCTCTTCACTAGGGAAATAGGCTTTATTTTTTAACTGTTGCCACCATTTTAGGTTTGTTGATCCAAGTTTAGGCTGGAAGGGTCATATGGTTGTTTTGAGTAGCTTGTAGGATAAACACACCTATTCATCTAATTTTCATTGAATTCACCAAGTATTAATCATATTTTCGGATCCACATTTTAAATGAGAAGGCCTTTGATGTCTATTGTTCTGTGTTGTAATGCCGATTGAAGATGCCAATATCTGATCCTGTTATTTTTGCTTTAGGAATGCAAGAACTCTGTTTCATTCAATTTTATCCGAGGATGCACTCATAATGCCTTGCAAAGGAGTATTAAAGTTATGCGCCATGTCTCTTCCGGTTAGTCTTCCCACGAATTACTCTTTATTTTCTTTTGGGCAAAAGAACAGAGATTTTGTTTTCCTTCTAATAACTGGGGTACTGCAGGACTTGTGGAAGAGTCGTCGCAGCCTTAAAGATGTCGTGGGTTTTGACCACTTGGTTGTTAACGAGACTTTAGGAGCCTGCGGTGATCTTCCTGGAGAGCAGCAAGGTCCTTGTCTGCCCTATTATGTATGGCAATGTGGTTATACGAAGGTACAAGAAATACTGTCTCGAGGTTGAACGCATTGAAAATGTATCATATCAATTCTATTAAAAGTGACTAACGATGCATTCAAAATTGAGCAGAAATTAAGCAAAGTGTACTCTCTCATGGACTTCAACTTTTCTGAGCCTATTCACTCCTGCTTTGGGAAAACAAAGGTATATGCTGTTATCTTTCTGGTGGCATGAACGTAATAAGAGCTTTTCTTAGTGGTAGGAGTTTTATTGGGTCCATGCTGTCACTGGTTCTAACTGAATTTTAAGAAGATGCGAATGCATGAGATCTCGCTGACTTAGATCATACTAGTCTAAAGTTGTTTTCAAGGTGTCTGCTGGGAGCGATTTTGTTCTGCCTTGACCTTCTTTTTAGTTCATACAAATGCAATGCATAGGAAACCCGGGTATCATTCTTTCCTCGGCCTCTCATGCACACTAAGATACACGATGTAAAAGCGCCCCTCTGTTGGCTACAGTATGCGTGCAGTTTTCTGACTGAATTTTGTGCCCTGGTATGCACATAGTTTTCTGGCTGATGTATTATATATGCGGGCTCGTAGATCGAGTTTGCCGACGCTGGCACGTGCCACGGCTTCGCGGTTTGGATTGACTGGGTGCTCGACGAGAAGAACTCCATCGTGATAAGCACGGGACCAGGTAAATAAAACATTTTACCTTCATCTCACTCTTGTTTGTAACTGTATCTGGGGCATGTAAGATGTAACTGTAACGAGACTGATGGTTTGTCTGTTGCACTTCCCTGATGGTGTTGTTGGTATTGTTGACCTCTGTCAGATAGCAGATACTGGAAGCAAGGCGTGCAGCTCCTGAGCAAGCCTGTGGAAGTGAACCCAGCCGATGACTCGGCCGCGCTCGTGGAGGCCTCCTTCGATCCTGCCTCTGGCGACATCGTCTTTACTTCCTCCTTCTCTTGATATAAGATGTAACACTGAGCCTGTCGGGTCGCGCGCACGCGACAAAGACAATATATTGCCGCTCGTGACACCCTTTGCCTGTAGTATTCCTTTTTATTCGTTTGTTTTTTTACAGGGAGGCGCTGCCAGTAGTTTAGGGTCTCATTACGTTAAAAACAGTGCTGAGGCCCATTCATTCGTGCGAAACATAGAATGTTTGCTCAACTTTTTTGTAAGGAACACTGCTCTTGCATTCCATTAAAACTGCCAGCACACATGTTCAGTACAAGCTGAGAGCATGGTTGCCATCCAGAAATTTTTACAATGTCATGCAACACGCAGCACGCGAAGGTTTATATAGGGTATTTTTTGTAAGCAGGGTTCGTAATGGCGAAAGATGATGGAGATGGCCGCACTGATCGAGCATTTTCTTGAGCAGGACGAGGTTTAACTTGCTGGCATTTGAGGAGCTCAACTTTCTTGCACAAAGGTCCTCGCTCTAAACTTAACTGCCCAAAGAAATTGTCTGCTAATCCACACATCCTTTTGCATAAATGAAACCGATTTCAAATATATTTCCACATCATTACAAGAAAAGGAAGAGAAAAGGAAACAAAATGCCTTCTGACCATTTCGTCGAACACTACGCGTGAGTCTTCGGTTGGAGGTGTCATGGTCTGATTGCAGGCCTCGCCAAAGCTCGAGACTGCGGCTCGGCTAGGGAAGCGGCAGCGGCCGGCACCTCAGGTCACGGGAGGAGGCTTAGAGCTTCGGCAGGACGCGTATGACCTCGGTGTCAAAAAGACGCTTCTTTACACTCAAAGTTCATGTCAGCCAACGGGCTATAACACATGAGCTTATGTAAACATATACAAATACCATGGCACTCTACTGATTCTGAAGATAGCCATATTTGCTTGCTTGACAATAGAAACTAATATGGAAATCAGTAACAGCGCTCGTACAGAAACTATTCTCGCCTTTTGGGGCACGCAGATGGATGTCATTCTGTTGGCGCTGCTGTTTACGTTCCCCTTGTAATCCCTTGGCACCATGAATCTGCGGAATTTAAAGATTTGCACAAAACAGAATCCAACGGAATTAATCCAATATGGAAATAGAATCCAACAGATCAAGCTATTATTAATCTTGTTCATCTAAAATGTGGCAATACCTGGACAGAATTGAAGCCATGCCGGAAACATGGCAATCACTGCGACCAAGAGGAACGGCCAATGTTTTACTTTTAAGTGAGTGGGTAATAAGAAGTTCTTGAATGCAGCCAGCTTGTTCGCCCACTGCATCCAGACCGGAACCGTTAAATAATGTAGGAATCAGCAAAAAAAGAAAAGAATTGTTATTATTTTTACATTAATTGGTTATTGTTATTACTTTAACATTCCTACCGGTGCAAGCGCACGTGTCGGTAGTTACAGGTTATGGCAGGGAACAAATGAATTAAAGTAGGATGACGAAAGACATGAGGCCAGTCTTGGCGAAAAAGAGATGATCCGCGGGAGCAGAGAATATGTACCTGGCTGATGCGTGAACTTTTAGCAACACCAATGTTGCTTAGTTCACTAACAATCTGGGTTATTGTAGGCCTTCGCGTTCGGTCATCCTCCACACACTTCAACGCTATTTTGATGCATGTGCTGACTTCTTCAGATGCATGGGGCGACATTGTTGCCTGCTCCTTAGTTCGCCAGTTTTCACGTACCTAGATAATTGTAACATAATAACACCAAAAGAGGGGGACAGGGGTAAGGCACAATAAAAAAATTGTGAACAAAATGTTTTCCATGATATGAAATCCTTTTTCTTACATTCTTAATGAATTGTTTCTGAGGGGAGTATGGAAAACTATAGTAGCCCTCCTTTCCTGCCATTATTTGTATGATTATGACCCCGAGACTAAATACGTCAAACTTCCGACTGATTTTCTGTCTGTTGATGTATTCTGGGGGCATGTATCCACTGCATTTCATCAAGTACGATTACTTTTCTGTAAGTACGAGAAAAGATGCTAATTAACGTTTTCTGAGTTTTTGACATACCTTGTTCCTTTAATATCTTCGGATTGTGTCATATAGGTTTGTGCTGAATCAAAAAGTCTAGACAAACCAAAATCAGCAATTTTTGCCGCCATATCCTTATCCAACAAAATATTTGCTGGTTTCAAGTCCAGATGGTAAATGGGAGTATCATCATTATGAAGGTAATGTAAACCCTGACAGATTCCTTTTATTATCTTGTAACATGTGTCCCAATCAAGTCTGCAGGGTTCAGCTGTAGAAGTAAAAAAAAGAAGGTATTACCATGTAGTATTATAGTATTACCAAGTGTGTATAATCTAAAAGATAGTCCAGTGTATCACCCGATTTCCCCCTCTAGGTGCTGCAAAAAAAAATAGTTCCG